AGGCCGAATGCAGCGCCGTGAGAGCCCGAGAGAAATTTATGCTTACTTTTCGAATGAATTCGAATGAATCTTCAAACGTCAAAAGGATACTTCTAATAGTGCTGTTACATGAATTGAATTGAGGTTTACGGGGGTTTTCGAACGCCACGTGGAACGAACGTCCGTCTCACAGCGTGATAACGATTGCTGCCGCCACGATTTTGTCTCGGGGAGAGAAAAAACACCAGGACAAAAACGGCTTCCGACCCACCATGTTAAGAGACAAGTTACGCACCCTAGCACCACACCAGTGGATGCTTGTTACGATCCGAGGAAATCTTGCATTTCTAAATGTGCANCGTCCGTCTCACAGCGTGATAACGATTGCTGCCGCCACGATTTTGTCTCGGGGAGAGAAAAAACACCAGGACAAAAACGGCTTCCGACCCACCATGTTAAGAGACAAGTTACGCACCCTAGCACCACACCAGTGGATGCTTGTTACGATCCGAGGAAATCTTGCATTTCTAAATGTGCATATGACACAAAGAAAGGCCCGTTGTTTTTTCTTCACGGTCGCGCTTTTTGTTATTCCCCGCCCGCCGCTCAACGAATCTATGCATATGGTGTCACAAGAATCAGAGGCCAGAGAGAAACAGAGTGATAGAGTCAGACTGAGACCGACAAGCAGACCCAGAGAGGCACACACAGGGCGAGAGCGGGAGTAAAGGCAGGGTGCAAAACCAGACCGTTTGCGAGAGCTGGGAGCGCTTTTGCTCCACCGCAACAATCTCACAGGTGAGATAATCGAAGAAGAGTTGAATTTTTCCTTGTTCACGAAATAAGAATCCTGCTGACGCCTACGCATACGCGTCCACGAAACTTTTGTACGGAAAGCGCGGGGATTTTTCTTTAGTTGGCGGGACGGATCTTCTAGAAAGCGGGAGGTATCTTTTGCTTTTATCCCGTTAAACTGCCCTGCTTTGACTCGTTCATCCACAGGCCACATCCCGCGGCGCTAGGAGATCTTGGCGCCCTCAAGACCCTCAACCTCGGATTCAACAAGCTAGAGGGTGAGTTGAGTAGATAAAAAAAAGCATGTGTTCTTTCGACTTCTGAACTTCCAGAACATCGGTCCCGCCTACGTACTTGGCGGCATAAAAGTGATCCCGCTAGTTCTGAAGTTTCGTGGACGCGTATCCATACGCGTCCACACACGTTCGCGGAACCTATGCATACAATGTTCTAGAAGTGGGATAAAATACTTGCTTTAATCTTTTTGTTTTTCTGTGTGGCCCATGTGCAGGGCCCATACCCAAGGAACTCGGAGCCCTGAGCGGGTTGCAAGTGCTTACTCTCCACCTCAACAAGCTTTCAGGTAAGGAAAGCGCAATAATAGTTTTTTACTGTTTCGTCTTCTGAAGAATCGTGCATTGACGCGTATGCCGTTGGCGTCCACGAAACTTTTGTACGGGACCAATGTTCTAGAAAGCGGGGGATTGTTTTCGTTTGTCCCGCTGAGCTACTCCGTTCCGTCCGTCCGCTTGCAGGCCCCATCCCATCGGAGCTTGGGCACCTTTCAGCACTGAAGCAGCTCTACCTTTCCACTAACCAGCTGAGCGGTGAGTCAACATGTGATTTCATGACTGTTCCACGACCGATTTTGCGGCGAGTCCCGTGTACGAATCTCGCTGATGCACGTGCGCGGGATTCATGCTTCAAACATGAACTGCTGAACAAACTCACCGGTTAGCTGGTTGTGCGAGAGGTCGAGGACCTGCAGCTCGGCGAGCTCTCCAAGTTTCGGCGGGATGGAACCTGCAATCGGAAGAGAGTGTATCGGGAGAAAACAAATTTAAATGCCCCGGCTTCCGAGAACATGCGCATAGTGAAGATATCCCGCGAGTTCCCAACTTGCGAAATTTCGTACCCGCGTATGCGTGATAAAGAAAACGAATAAAATATATCGCGCCTTTCTATTTTCAAGACAACTGATCTCCGTAGATCCATGGACGCGTAGGCCGTCCGCGTCCATAGATCTACGGAGATCGAACATAAAAACTTCTTGGTAGTTCCCCCCCAAAATAATGGAGTATTTGTTTTGCTTGTCTGTTCGCAGGGCCTGTCCCGCCGGAGCTGGGCAAGCAAACAGCGCTGGTGGAGCTCGTACTAGGGAACAACCAGCTATCCGGTGAGGCATGAATGCCGCATATGTACTTGGCGGCATAAAAGTTATCCCGCTAGTNACCCTCTAGCTTGTTGAATCCGAGGTTGAGGGTCTCGAGGGCGCCAAGATCTCCTAGCTGCCGCGGGATGTGGCCTGTAGATGAACGAGTCAAAGCAGGGCAGTTTAACGGGATAAAAGCAAAAGATACCTCCCGCTTTCTAGAAGATCCGTCCCGCCAACAAAAGAAAAATCCCCGCGCTTTCCGTACAAAAGTTTCGTGGACGCGCATACGCGGGTACGAAATTTCGCAATTTGGGAACTCGCGGGATATCTTTGCTACGCGTGTGTTCTCGGAAGCCGGGGCATTTAAATTTGTCATCTCCCGCTACACTCTCTTCCGATTGCAGGTTCCATCCCGCCGGAGCTTGGAGAGCTCCCCGCACTGCAGTTCCTCAACCTCTTGCACAACCAGCTAACCGGTGAGTTTGTTCAACAGTTCATGTTTGAAGCATGAATCCCGCGCGTAGGCGGGACCGATGTTCTGGAAGTTCAGAAGTCGAAAGAACAAATGTTTTTTTTTATCTTCTCAACTCACCCTCTAGCTTGTTGA